TCACTTCCACTATGGACTTTAGAAACCATACTGTGTAGTCATTTTACTCCTATTATTATAAAGGAAAATCAATTATAAACAAGTTAGAGTGGATAAGTAATTAACATTGTCAGAAGATAAACACAGTTCGAAAACGAATAAATACATAAAACAATAAAACATTTAAGAAACAGGCCTGTTCTAACCAAAAGATGACCGACCGCACAGGTAGCAAGGGACAGACTCCATTGGATATGATGGTTTGACCGTCAAAGCCGTGTTCTTCAGATCATCTACCCGCGCTACCTGTAAGTTTGGAGAGTTACTTGCTACTGTTGTCAGGCGCCGTTATCTGCATGTGAAAAGGAACTGAAGACAGCTAGCTATTACTATTTTTAGTTTACATACCTAAAAATTTAATTTGAAATCAATAAAAGGGTTTTAATTCTATTGCCCATTTTCTTTCATATATTAGCATGAAAAGGTAAAATTTGTGAACATTAAGCATGTTGATATGGAAAAACCTAGAGCTTTCATCCTTTTGCCTTTTTAATAAAAAAGATCATTATTTAGTTTAAGTAGTTAATTGTGATTTTTTAAGCTTTTACTTTTTTATAACACAACTGCTGATATTGTCCGCTAATTAAACGGAATTGCAGTAAGAGAGCTGCAAACAATGAAGCCGTTGTAACAAATTAAGGAGTACAAAACCTTGTTTTCTTACTCCTTGTCAGCCTGTGTTATTAATTATAGCTTATCTCGCGGTTTTTGTACTTCATTCAATTTGTGTTTTACGTCTTTCATTACATCGTATAACTAATAATTATCGTGAAAAAATAACAAAACATTAAACACACTCATTATAAATAGCGCTGCAAAACATGTTTCATATTAATAAAAATCCTTTCTTTAACCTTAAGCAACATATTGAAAGTCAAGAGTGACCACCCATTACCCGAGCACACTTTTTTAGCCTTAAACCTAGATCAACCATCAACCTAGACCTACCATACCATAGAGAAACTAATAGTGGTCCTTCCCCTACTTACATGGGAACTATAACTATTTCTCATTTACCTGATCACTTAAAACGAATCACTGATAATAAAGCTATAAAAGAATCTAACAATTTGACCGACCGACAATCTACGAAGATCAAAATAAATCTGCATACAATACATAAATCCTAGCCTTCGCCAACTAGGTTTATAGAGTTATGACTCCGTCAGAAACGTAATGAAGTTTGAATATTACCTGGTTTCAAAGACTGCAGAGAAGAAGTAGTGGTATATTGTAAATACAAAATGGCATATGGATTGATCATTATACAACACAGATTTTCTTACAGGTAAATCAAACAAAAGTAAATATCTTATACTAAAATAGTACAGGGATAAATTTTCAGAGCCACGTGTCTACACACAGATTAGTGATAGTTCAAAACAACCGGACTGCATTTTCACATTTCAACATTGTTAAATATTGGCGATGGATGAGCTTCCATCTCAGAACCTCCTGGAGATGGGTTTGGTCCTATATCTGGTATAGTAACACTCATATACAGTATAACCGTAAATATTAAGTAATTTGTAGCAATGTTTTATTATTTTTATTTTGCAAACCAAAATGTTGTTAATACTGTTGAAATAAGGTTATTTGTCTCACAATGTATTTTATTAGAAAATGATAACATTTAACAACACCGTCCAAGACTTAATTCCTACTTAGGAAAAGCCTGATTGAGGTATTCTTTTATAAGAACAATATGGTTTTACTAAACTCATGCTTTTGTTTTACAAATACTCCTCCTGAACGGCTGAAGCGATCCGCACGAAATTGAAAACAGTCATTGTTGCCAATTAAGGGAAGGTATGGGTCTAAAATTACACAAATCGGATATCAGGGCTTTTTTCCACGTGAATTTAATCTTTTAGAAATTTTACATGGGCCTTATAGGTTGATTGGTAATCATGAGGTTTTACAAGAAAAAAATACAAGTATAAACGCAAGAATCGTAACATGTGCTTATTAACAAGACATTTAAACAAGAACATTTCAAATATAGAACTGCTATAAGAGCTGATCAGCTGGTAGTTATTTTCTTATGATTGTTTGAGTTTGAATGTTATGAATGTATCTTATGATTGACAAGTTAAATGTTAAATGCAAAGCCAAGATTGAAATATAAGTTAGGGTCACAAAAACACTGGCAGGCCGTGTGATGAGAAACAATATGTTTCTTCATGCTGTAGTAAGTTAAAAAAACAATTATTAAATATAAAAAAATTAAAAGATATTTCCAATTACATCAATCCAGTTGTTTTCTTTAGAGACAGTTATCTAATGCTGACATAATCTGGTATATAGCATATTCAATTATTATTTTCTTGTTAATGGTAACTTTAAGTAATTTAAATGCATCAGGTATCATTCCGCCAAAGTTAAAAATCAAATTGAATTTAAACTACTTAATTACTTTATGAAATGAAAATGAAATAAATAAAATCTTTATTTTACCAGGCAAAGTTAGGGCCGTATGGCCCTTTCCTACACATACCCTGACATATGTAAATATAAAGAAATAATTTTATTTTGCCATGGGTATGTAAATAACTACTTTATATCCTAGACACATGCATTGAAACAGCCGTTTGATTGGAGTATGACAAAAACCTTTGTTTCATGAAATGTTGACATGATGTTATATGTGAGTCCTCAATATTATATGGAAGCTGACATGAGACTAATAGTTGTCGCCACGAGGACAATATTTATAAAGACGACTGCAGCTTGTTTAGGTTCGTCTCTTCACACTTCATTTATTCATTCCCTCATCTGTCTGATCAACAACCACATAATAATGACAAAGTGTTTTAAAATTGTATTTATTGAGCTTTTTAATGGAAGTATAAATATTTGATTTATTTATTTAAACTAATAACGTAAAACGTGACTAGTGGTAGGTTATTTCAAGTTTTCTAAGTTTAGTTTTAAATTCAGCATCAAAATAAAAGTTGTAAAAAATAAGCTATCAAAATCTTATTTTACTTATAATATAAATATTATTTGTTCTGCCAATGCTTTGCAACAGCTCAAGGATGCTTAAGAAAACAATGTGGTTCTCTAAATCTACAGTAAAGTTACTCACACTTACCATGCAAATTGTATATTCAAATCTTCATCGCAATTTTATTCTTGCTTATTTAAATTAAAATCTTTTGTGTATTTGCATTACACTGTATGGCGGAATCAAAACTAATAATTTATCGTATTGTAAACATCTACAGGGTGAGTTTTAATTGTCCCCCCCCCCAACTTTTTTCTACATTTTTTCAAATATCAATCCCAGACCACTTCCAAACATTGTTGGGTAGTAAGTACTTCATTTTGACAAGGTGGTCATTTCCGGCCGCCATCTTGGATCCGCCATATTGGATGCAACATTTTTTTTCAAATGTAAAGGTGGGGTTGTGACCCATTATTTCGAACTACATTTTTACCCTTATTACAATGCCGCAAACCGTTTTTAAAAATCTTGATTCATTCTAAAGTTACGAGGGCTTTTTAAAGCTTTATTTTTAGCCCATTTTAACATTGTGCATTTACAAACTAAGACCATAATCCCAAATAGTGCTAGATAATGATAAGTATACACTACCAGTAATTGTCCACCTATTTTCACTTGATTATGACTGATGTATTTTTTTCGGCCGCCATCTTGGATCCGCCATTTTGAAATGTGATATATTATTTTAAATATGAAGGGGGTGTTGTGACCCATCATTTCGAACTACTTTTTTAAGCTGAACTTAATTCCATAATCCGTTTTTTATTTTCATTTTTTGATTTTGAAATATTGACATTTTTAACAAAAAAATTTCAATATTTCATAAATAAAACTTATGGGTTGTCATGCTGGTGACGAAGTAACAACGGAATATAAACGGAAAATCAAAACAAATTGAAACTGCTACACAATCATCACATGTTTTATTTACACGTGGGGTGAAAATAGAGAAGTGTGTGTGTACATTACATTATTTTTGTTCGAGTTTTCGACCACAGGACGATCTCTAGTATTATATTAATATTCGAATTTTCATATTAGCAAGCCTATATAAACCAGCTGTTTTAACATGCTTTTTCAGTATTTTATTTATATTTTGGACATGTCCGTGTTATTAAATAAGAGGGTTATGTTTTATTAACAAAAGGTAGTCGATGTTTTGAAGAATTGTAGTTTTTTCTGTGAAAAATAAGGCTTTAGGTAAATATGCTTGGATAACATCGAAAACTTTGGTAAAAGATCCTTATCTTATGTGATATCAATGAAGTACTAGGTTGACGAGACAATGTCCAGCGTTTAATTCAACCTTATTAACTGTATTAAAAGAAAATAAGTTTACTAAACTATAAGCGATTAAATAACGTTTTTTTTTTCCTAAAAACAAACAATTATAGATGTGTAACTATTTCATACAGCAGATATAAGGAACTACATTATTTTTCTCCCCGTCTTCTTCCCGTTGCAAATCACGGTTATAGCAGCTACTAAGTAAACACAATCTTATGTTCTTATCATGAGTAAGTTAAGCTCGATGGGAGTTAGTTACATGTTTGACTAACCTTTATATACGAAATAATTCTGTTGTAAACTTGGTGTGTATCATAGTGTTTTCCCAATATCTTTATTCTTAGCTTACATGCCAGATGGATACATGTTATACAAGAATACTTAAAAGTTTATCTATTTAAATTCATTGTGTTAGTATTTTTTATTGTGAATTTTGTCGATGACTGATAGGTTCAGTTGTGGACGAAGTCAGTGTTGACAGTAAAATAGTAACTTTTTCTAAATCTAAACTTTCAACGATCACTCAGGCCGGCAGTCCACAGCACCAGGTGGTCGCGTACGATATTTTCTCTCTGCAATGTTGGTAGTCCTTGACTGTCAGCTGGTAGACTTTCATTCAGTAATCAGTACCGTCGTACACGCGCGACTCTGCCGATGGTATTGTGTTGTGCTGCCGAGGCCCAGCGTATGAAACAACGTGGTTGTTGTTCGTGTAAAATTTAATGCACTTTATATACAATTCAGTGCTGGGGACAAAGGACATATTTTCAGGTTAGGTGAAATTCAGGATTGCACAGTCAATCTTTACTATTGTTTAATGCGACTTTAAAAAAAATATAGTATTGCGTTTCTTAAGGGCATTTGCTTTCCTCAAGTGATCTTACTATAGTTTTCTATATACAATCACAGACTTTTCAGCTAAAGTGTTTTTGTCTTTTGTTCCATTTAATATCAACGAATTTAAAAAGTTCTTACTTTAAAATTAAATGTAAATATCAGTAGCACAACTAAACGTTGAAACTGTGCGTGTCGTTAACAAAACAACCGTAATAGACCATGTATATGGTCCAAACAACTTCCTCTTCCAGACCAACTCATTAGACAGGTGATAAGTGAAAGGCGACCAGGATTTGTGTTTGTGTCTGTGTTTGTGTCGTTGTGATTGTTGTTGTTGTCGTAGGTTGTGTCCAGTGTGATGTTTTCAACTATGGGATTATTGCGTTTGATGGATTGATACTCAAACGGTAAGATCCTCTTTAATTTTCTTATCCTATATTAGTCTCAACTGTTAGATTATTGCCCTCTTAATTTTTTTTTCTAACTCTGTCAGTATTCTTCCTTTGTTTACTAAACATCCATTATTTTTTTAGTTGTTATTGGTAAAGCAAATTATAAAACGAGTTACAAACTTTAATATCTTTGGATTAGACAAATAAGTCCTGGGTAAATTTGAGAACAATGTGGTTGAAGATGTTTTTTTTTCTTCTAAGATATATTTTACGAAATGAAATTGTTAATTGCTAATCTATTTTGTTTGATGTAGTAGCAGGTTAGTTTCCAGGAACCCTGGTTGTTGTTTTCCATCAAAGATAATTAATGTTTGTTAGGAACACTTGATATTATTTAGGTTCCAATTATAATGAATGCGTTTCATATGCTCGGTATTCATCACAATCACCGTTGCTGATTAACTGTTGACCTTCTATAACCATAAATAATTATGTATATCTAGAATGAAAACTATGTTTCATCGTTCCCTCAAGTAATTAATATCATTGGCTTTGTCAAGGGTGCGCTTTTCAGTGAAAACTATGGCATTGTAAAAAAGCCATCAACACAAAAACCGTATTATTACCTCAAACATAGTGCCTTATTATTACTTCAAACATAGTGTTAAAAAAAGGTTCTGTAAACATGTAAAAACGTAAATAGCTTAACATTATGTTTTGAAACAGCTATTTTTCTAAAATGTAAACAGGCATCTATTCCTTAGGTGAGGGCCCATACTTAAATCAAGGATGCACTTACTTCGTATTATTAACTGTATGTAGTGTACTTGAATAAGTGGGATTTGAGAAGGATTCTATGCGAATGCTTTGCAAGGTTCGGATAGTTCTTATTGTTTATGGCACTTCAATACAAACTTTATTTATTCCCTAAATGATATTGCACCTAAACTATTCTAACTAGTTGGAAAATCATAGACTAGTAATTAATTTACCACCATTATCTCAGCTCGTGGTAAAAAGTCACTAAGGATATAGTAAGATGATATAGGCCTAGTAAAGTGTAGAGAGCCGGTCTGATGTGCTGCCGGTGATCAGGAAATATCATCACAACGACCACAGCAAAGTATCAGGAGGAGGGTGTTGTCAGACTGAGTACTAATGATGGTCGCAGTGAAGGTGAGAGAGCAGGTCTGCACTCTACAGACAGTAAAAGTAATCAGTAAACATCAGCACAGGACCACAGCAAAGTATCAGGACAGGAGGAGGGTGTTGTGTAGACTGAGTACTAATGATGGTCCCAGTGAAGGAGGGAGAGCCGGTCTGCACTCTACAGACAGTAAAAGTGATCAGTAAACATCAGCACAGGACCACAGCAAAGTGTCAGTGTTGTAGTGTGCAGGACAGGAGGAGGGTGTTGTGCAGACTGAGTACTAATGATAGTCCCAGTGAAGGTGGGAGAGCCGGTCTGCACTCTACAGACAGTAATAGTGATCAGTAAACATCAGCACAGGACCACAGCAAAGTGTCAGTGTTGTAGTGTGCAGGACAGGAGGAGGGTGTTGAGCAGACTGAGTACTAATGATGGTCCCAGTGAAGGAGGGAGAGCCGGTCTGCACTCTACAGACAGTAAAAGTGATCGGTAAACATCAGCACAGGACCACAGCAAAGTGTCAGTGTTGTAGTGTGCAGGGCAGGAGGAGGGTGTTGAGCAGACTGAGTACTAATGATGGTCCCAGTGAAGGAGGGAGAGCCGGTCTGCACTCTACAGACAGTAAAAGTGATCGGTAAACATCAGCACAGGACCACAGCAAAGTGTCAGTGTTGTAGTGTGCAGGACAGGAGGAGGGTGTTGTGTAGACTGAGTACTAATGATGGCCCCAGTGAAGGAGGGAGAGCCAGTCTGCACTCTACAGACAGTAAAAGTGATCAGTAAACATCAGCACAGGACCACAGCAAAGTGTCAGTGTTGTAGTGTGCAGGACAGGAGGAAGGTGTTGTGCAGACTGAGTACTAATGATGGTCCCAGTTAAGGTGGGAGAGCCAGTCTGCACTCTACAGACAGTAAAAGTGATCGGTAAACATCAGCACAGGACCACAGCAAAGTGTCAGTGTTGTAGTGTGCAGGGCAGGAGGAGGGTATTGGGCAGACTGAGTACTAATTATGGCCCCAGTGAAGGAGGGAGAGCCAGTCTGCACTCTACAGACAGTAAAAGTGATCAGTAAACATCAGCACAGGACCAGAGCAAAGTGTCAGTGTTGTAGTGCGCAGGACAGGAGGAGGGTGTTGTGCAGACTGAGTACTAATGATGGTCCCAGTGAAGGAGGGAGAGCCGGTCTGCACTCTACAGACAGTAAAAGTGATCAGTAAACATCAGCACAGGACCACAGGAAAGTGTCAGTGTTGTAGTGTGCAGGACAGGAGGAGGGTGTTGTGCAGACTTTGTACTAATGATGGCCCCAGTGAAGGAGGGAGAGCCGGTTGCACTCTACAGACAGTAAAAGTGATCAGTAAACATCAGCACAGGACCACAGCAAAGTGCCAATGTTGTAGTGTGCAGGACAGGAGGAGGGTGTTGTGCAGACTGAGTACTAATGATGGTCCCAGTGAAGGTGGGAGAGCCGGTCTGCACTCTACAGACAGTAAAAGTGATCGGGCTCCCTTCTCTACTTTCTATTAAGTGAATGTTCCTTACCGAACCGACCATCCTACGTCCATATTTGATTTTGAATGCGATAGTTTCATATGACGAGTTTGTATTAAATCAATGTTGATACTACTTGCTTACATTGTAGTTAGCTTTCAGCTTTTTCTTTTGTAGTATCCATTATGTGAATACTAGGCAAGAATTATGTATTCGAACACACGTTTGTTAGCTTCTTAGTACAGTAACTTGTTTAATTCTTCCCCCTAGGATGCTAGGTTACAGCTCGGTAATCTTTTACACACTACTTCAGGGTGGCATGCTAGGTTTCTGCATTATCACATGGAATAAATTAATTGGAGATTGGCTGGATATTGAACCTGGGACCTCGGGATTCGAAGCTCTGTACTCTACCACACTATCGTGAATGATATATCTGCTAGTAAAAAAAAACAACTTCTTTTTAGTTTGTCAGTTTCAGGACGGTCGAAGTTAAGCTATAAAACTTATGTGAACACTGTATCAGTTGCTGAAACATGTCGGTTTCAACATATTTAACTTAGGTTCTACCTTAGCTATATCACACTTGCAAAAAGTAACCAATGGGACATCCTGACATCATCCTGACTTGGAAATACAAGCTAACTTGAATAACCCACACTTTGTTATAGACATCCCCTTATTTAACTCTATTATCTGTCCTCTAGAACTGTCGGTTAGGTCAAAGTAAACAGTCAGGTGTAGATGTAGGCACAAAGGACGCCGGCCAGGTGGACGTGGGTGTGGCTGTTTGATTTACTCTGTTGGCTTGGCGGGCGTTATGGTCTAAATACAAGTGTGATTGTGAACATAGAACTGAGAACACAACATTGACAAGGTCGCCTTTCACACCAGACTCTCATGCAACTGTGCACAATACTGCACCATTCGTACATAAATTCGTAAATTATAATCCTGGATTGAAGTTGTTTTACTATGGACATATTACAATAATAACAAAACTCAAATAAAAACTTTATATTACCACGGGGTTCAGGTTTAAAGTGACGTAGTTATTTATTTATTTATGTTGTGCATGGATGTGTCCCGTCTCTAGATCTAGCTGATGCAGCATAATGCCCCGATATCCTAGAACTTCTTACCATTTCAAATGAGACAGCTGATCGTTGATGTGGCGCGGCGCCGTAACCACAACCTGGACGTCTGTGACCCGGTCCACTTATGGTTATGGTCATGAGTCTGTCTGTACCACTCAGGTCAGCTTCACTTCACATCCAACCGACCATCAATGCCGGAGAAAGTTATTTGCATACCTGTATCGTATAACAGATATCGAAAGTTATGATAAATGAGCCGATTTCTGTTAAAGAATCAAGATTCAATGACTTCGTCAACATTATTTTTCGAAACTTGTTGACTAAAGTCTTTTTTTGCGTTCATATAGAGTACAATTATTTATGTCCTAACAACAACTTACTTTAGCTACCAATTTCCTTATTTTATCTGTATTTTTTGTTACTAAAGTTTTCGTTTCAGCAAAAAACCTTTTGCATAGTGACCCAAAAAACATAAGCAAATTTATTTGCTGGAGCTAACAGTGAAACACAAACGAGAAATAAGCACAAGAATTAACCAAGTACGTATAATATAAACTGCGAGAAACATATCAACGGCTAATTATGTTTTAATATCTTGGGCTGAACAATATTTGGTTAATGTTTTTAGATTAGTACCCCTAATGTCTATATTTTTATCAAAATACGGAATTATACGGATATAAAATACAAAGATTATAAAATACGGATCGTGTTGGTGGATATTTTGGTAATTCTACCATCACGAAACTCAGCTATTGTTATAGCGAACAAATTTCGTTTCATTCGAGAACAAATAGTTGATAACAACTTTTAAACTTAAAACGAAACGAATATGATTTCATAACTCAGCCATACATCAGGCTTCTTTCAATTTAAACGTAAATCTTGTTCAAGTCTCTTATTTTAAAACTTTTTTGTATTATAATTAATGGGTTTTTAAAGGAACTAGCTATACCCCTAAGCCCCGGTCGACTTCAACTCTACCTTTAACACGTTGGTACAGTAAAATAGTTAAGTTTATTGTCACAAGGAAACATGTTTACTGTATATACCTAACAACGGACACGACAATCGAGTAGCAACGAAAATTGAGAAGACCGTGACTGCGACCAACGCCCACTCTCTCTGAGCAGGATCACGACCCAGTATGTCCTACTCAAGGTCACCAACACAATGGAATACTGAACTTAATCGCTACTGTTAAAGGCAATGATTTTGTATACTCAATCTAGTTTGTTACTCTTTGAAGTAAATACAAAATGTACAACGACTACTA